CCTGTTGATGTCCTGGTGCAACCCCTTGTTGAATGTTATTTGAGCATTTCCATATCCTATTGCCTGACCTCTCTTTGGGATGGACACAGATCCTGACCTCTTCCAGTGAGTTGGACAAATGGCTTTCCCCCAAATATCTTGGCATAGACTCGTGAGTGCTTCCAGTGCTGAATTGGCTCACGGAAACATTTCCATTGGTATTCTGCCCGTTTCACAGCCGGTCTGCCAGCTTTGTCCTACTTTGTAGGCATGCATGTGGCCGTGCTGCTGGAAGAGTCCTCAGTAGTTAAAGTACCATCAGGGTCACTTGTGGTGACCAAGTTTCAGAGGAGCTTCCAGAAGAACAACAGACTAGGAAGAAGAAACAGGCTCTCTGCCTCTGAAGAAGGAGCCGCCATCAGCCTTCTGGATAGTATTAAAGATGGTCTTATGCAAAGAAGAACCATCCAAGGGATAGGACGCAGAGGACAATACAAAAAGGATGGAGTATCCGAAGAGCACAGTGTCTGGGAAAGTGAAAGGAACCAGGCCAGGGACTACTGGTCAGGGATGGCTTTTTGGAGAAAGGCAGGGACACGTTTTCCATTTGAAGAAGACAAGGCAGATTCTGTGGTGGCTGTAGATGTTGGTTAACTGGGGCTGGAGGAGATGAGGTCCACTCTGCCTCCATCTGGTTAGTCGTGGATGAGGCTCAAAGTAAAAGGTGGGCGAAAGACCTTTTCAGGAATGTGGGTCATGACTCTATTCAACGTAACCCCTAATTGGAAAGAATCTGATGTCCATCAGCAGAAGCATGGATGGCAAACGGTGGTAGACATTTAAAGGGCTGAAGTACAACAATTCCTGCAATGAAAAAGAACTACTGGTAGGCCCAATATGGAGGCGTCCAGCGGCAGTGGGAGTGGTGAAGAGTTCACAAAGCTCCAGGAATTAATCAAGGTGATGGATAACAGAACAGTGCATGAATTAAACACTACAGTTCCAACAGCTTTTTCGAAGGAAAAATGCAAGTCCAACCTGTAAACAACTCCATGAGTCTTTGATGGCAGCTCATTCCAGTAGCGATAGAATCGTTAAAAAAAAAAAAAAAAGTATTGCTCAGACCTCAGCCGTACTAAGAAATCTCCAAGATGACAGAGAAAAGAATCAGGATGATTTCATGTTATTAAGACCACTTGGGGGAAAAGAGACAAGGTTGAAATGGATA